TGTCCTCGAATTTTCTCAGATGAATTATATAGATAAAGATGCATCCTCCATGAAACAACACCTACTAAAGTACATGTTCATAAGGTATTCCATGTGGTATGACATCTTTTTTATGAAGTCCACATTTTGTTTAACTCAATGACTACAGGTTTACGTACCGTCCCCTGTATTTCTTTGTAAATTTGGTTACAAACAGATGGCTCCAGATGTGCTCAACCACCAAGGAGTCTATCAGTTGACCCTAGTGACCGTGCCTAATTTACCCATTCCTTGAATTTGTGGATTTTTTTTTTCAGATACTATTAATATTGACATTGTAATTATTTTTATTAATATTATGATTGTCAAACTGTTATTAAAATATTAATAACATTAAAGACAATAAAATAATACAAATGAAGCTTTCAAAAATCAAAGAAAAGGGTATATAGGTGTGATAGGTAAGACTTAAAACTGACTCACTGGTGACTAAGTTCTTGTAGAGCCATCTATGTGTAAAGATGATGGATGAACTTTTATTGCAGTGGCATGGGATTGTAGTCTTATCATCTGTACCAATTGGGTCTAGCATACAGCTATTAGTTTCAACTAATTCATTACCTACATTATACAAGTATACAAGTATAGTACTACTTTACATGATTTGACATTTTTTCACTAAATAATAGATAACTTGAATGTAAATCATGAATAAAACTTCTGCTCTTTAAAATACTTTCTTATTTCCCTGTTTTCTTTCAATATCTTGGCCTTTGATAAGCTAATGCGATGTTTAAAAATATATATAAATATCAATTAATCTTTACTGAAGAAATACTATAGACAACAGTACATTCTTAATAAAAAATGACTACTGAGTCACACTAATAACTGAAAATAATCCTTATATCTACATAATTTACTTAACAACTTGATTTCTGAATGATTCACCATTCTTGTGAATTAATGCAAGGTTGAAAAATTTCTGTAAAGATGATAGTTACTAACAGACAATAATTAGAGAGACTTTAAGAGCAATACCAAGATGATGATGATGATGATAAAAATCACCACCTTCAATGCCAAATCCACACACCAGAAAAATACATCTGATACTATTTTTTTTCTTATCATATCATAAATACCATCCCCAGTGTTAACTATCAGTTACAGATATACATTTTTTACTAACCATCATTTACTTCTAGATAAAAAGATAAATGAATAAATAAACAAATAGAAAAAATCAATAATCAATCAAAAAAGTAAGTCAATCTGAAATATAAAAGATAATAGTAGTGTGAAAAAGAAAAAAAGAAAGAACAGATGACACTAAGAAAAGTTGATAAGTGATAAACTTAGCAACAGATCTAATCATCTATAACAATAATTTATAGATAAATAAATATATAAACATGAATATATAGGTAAAACTGATATGAATAACATAACGCAATGATTAAAAATAAAATCAAAGAAATAATAATGAAAATTATGTAATGAAAAAACAATCACGCACCTCAGATCCCCTTGCAAGTTCTGCTTCGTATGTAAGGTAATTCAGACTGGCAACGTAATAGCCCTCTTCTGGTGTGTCACAGCGACGACCCGTGACATGTGGCCGACACCTGTGGAAGAGAAACCACAGTTAAGGGGAGCTTACGCTATGATCATCAACTTTTTGTAATGAATTTATCATCTAGATCTAATATATTATGCATACCATCAATGTGATTATTTCACATTCAAATTCCTAGTAAACTGATTTTTCTTTTCTTTTTTTAAGCAAAGGATCCTTGATGTATGTGTGCTGAGTTCTGTTTCACTCAGACACAAAATCCCTAAAAAAAAAAAAAAAAAAAAAACTGCAAGAGGACTTTGTTATACAGGTATTTATTTAGGGGTAAGAATTTTTAATCAGATTTTTTTTTTTTTCTTTTTACTTAGAAATGTTTGGTTTATTTCCTCATAAAATATGACTTTTTCTCTAAGGTATCTCAAGTTTTGAACTTAAACTTTTCATTAAAGTTATAAGAAAAATATAAGAAGGGTCCCATTTTTTTTGGTGGAAGGAGTGATGGGCAAAACAGGTAGTGAGGGAAATTGCTATGCATCTTGGTTTGTACCTCACTAACTCAGCATTTTCTCTCCCACTAGGATAAACTATTTTAACATTTTATGGTTAATATCTTACACAGTCATTATCCTGATAGATACAAGAGTAAAGTTAAAGAAATCAAGCTTAAAAATAATGAGTTCATTTTAATTATAGAGCACACAAGACTAACACTACTCATTTCTAATAATCATACACACACACAAACATACCAGTATTTCATTACATTTATTGAAAAGAACACATTATATCAACTATCGTGCATGTGGCTGATGTTAGATGTATGGGAAACTATTTCTCTCCTCCCCCACCAATAACTACTTGCACAAGAGGCCTATAAATCTTGTCCATTTGATAACTCTAAGCTAAACATTGTTGTCTCTACAGGGGGGGGACCAGGTGCTTTAAGGCATTGCACTTGATTAAGGAGGCATCATTAAAACTGCATCTGATATGCAAACACAAACACAAAGGTTATCTTACAAAAAATTATGGTTGGAAAACTGTTCAAAAAACTTTAGAGGCCTGCCTATATCCTGAAAACACTTTTAAAATCAAAATTGGATAAACATTTTTTCCCCCCCAATAGAGTACCATTTTACTTGTTTTATTCCTTCATTTTTAAAAAAATTCTGTAGACTATTCTCCTTTGAACAGATAATTGTACAACTATTTTTACCCTTCTATACACAACTTAATGAGATAGAAAAAAAACTTACTAAACAAAAATCCTTTTTATATCATATCCAAGTTCAGTCCATCATATGATGTATGTCACACTTATCCAGTTTATTACATTTACTAAGGTGCTCTTTTCCTGATTTCTGGATTCAGTTTGCTAAAACTTTTACTTCTGAAGAGTTTTAGCATTTCAAAGGAGTCAGTTCTTAGAAAAAAGTCACACACATGCACACACACAAAACAGTACTACTGCATAGAAAAATTTATCAACCTCAATAGAAATAAAAACTTAAACTCACTTGCATTGGCCACTGAGCACATCGCAGTTGTTATCAAGAGAACCGCCTCGATCACAGTCACAAGGCTGGCATCCATCTGGGTGCTCAGACAGGCCATAGTGCTGGGGCAAACACTGGTTACAGTCACGTCCAGTCACAAATCGCTTGCAGGAACATTCTCCAGTCAGGACATTACAGCCAGCATTGTTGAGTGTTCCCAGAAGATGGCAGGTACAGGCTATAAGGTGGATATTTAGTATCAAATTACGGACATGATGTACTTGTAATAATGTGAAAAAATATAGAGTAGAAAACAAAACAATAAAATAATTAAATATGATGTTTGCATACACTTATACAGAACCTACAGTCAAATATTTTACCCTATCTGACTCACTCAAACACTTATATGTATGTCTTTTTACATATATCCATACATCTATACACAAATAAACAAGCATTCCCACAATAAATACACAGAAATAAAGACATAAGCAAACTTATGTAACATATAAACATGTGGATATAAAAATCTTACATACAGTTTGTCACTTAAGTCAGACTGCAAAAATATTCACTATATATTCATGCTTAGTACTTATAAATCTAAACAGCAAATCACTATTCTCCATGTATTTATCAAGCACCAAGCAACATTTTGAAATATAAGGTTTTCAGCAGCTCAGAATATATTTGATTAATTCATAAAAATTTGCACTTGATACCTTCAAACTCTGTAAAAGTACAACTCATTTCCTTGAGCTTTACCTTTCCAAGAAACAAGATTTTTCTAAGGAATATTTGTAAATATTAGTTATAACACTTTAAGCAACCAAACTCAAACTGTACTACAAGTACAATATCTATCTATCTATCTATAAAGATAGATAGATAAGTACATAGATATAGATATTCATCAACACATCCATCAAATTAAACCTTGTGGGGTAAGTACACACACTATAACCAAAGAAAACCCATTCAATAGCAGTTATCAATTTAGCTATTCAAAAAAAAAGAAAGAGAAAAAAAAAGGAAAAAAAAAAAAATCACACATACTAAGTCATGCTAATGATAAGCACCCTAAGCATATAAACTTATAAGACCCTTCACATGAAGCTCTGCACTTGGAAGACCTGTTATGCATGAAAACCCTTCATTTTAAAGCCTAGTGCTAGCAAGCTCCAAAGTCTACAAAATTTCTCACGTTTCTGAGGCCACTCTGATCTTGGCTGGTTTTTATAATCTTCTGCAATTTCTGGAAGTTCGTGTTTTTTAGAACGGTGAAACAGTTTCAAGTATTAAAAAGTTTAAAACATTCATCCCAAAATTTTTTACTTTGATATCAGGAAAAGAGCTATAAAACAGAACGCATATTAGTATATTTCATGTTTATCTTTTACTGCTTCCTATTTTCAGTGGAATTGTCTGGTATCTGAAACAGTAACTCTTTTATCCACAAATACTTTCAATGTAGCAGATATATTAACTGTGTCCTCTTTCCATACTATCAGTATAAACCAAAGTCTTTACCTTGACAACCCTCTGGATTATCGGTAGTGAAATTCCAGTAACCAGCCTTGCAACGGTCACACTTGAGGCCATCAACGTTGGTCTTGCAGTGACATCTTCCAGCTAGCAATCCAGCAGGAACATCAGTGTGGGAGTCGCAAATGGCATCGTCTATTGAACCGCGAGTGTCGCAGTTACAGGCTGGAGAAGGGAAATTCAAGTTTACAAATTCCAGTCAATAACAGACAATTTCTTCTGACTACATCACTACATGTCAATTTGTTTCTGAATACAAATTGATAAGTGAAAATTATATAAAAAATAACTACAAAGCAAAATTCTTCAGTACATTTAAATCTGGGTCACAGAAGATTGAAAAACTGAAGTTACCAACACTAGGAAAAAATGATTGTCACTACAACTTTAATGTGCAA